GACGGCGGTGTTGCACTCCTTTTTGGAGAGCCGAAGCTTGACGCACTTGGTCCCTCCCGATGCTGGAAGCGTCGTGCGCTTGCTCGACGACCGCCAGGGCTTGATGCGCGCGGTCTCGCTCGGCAAAAGCTACGCCGCGTTGCTGCTCTGCAGCTACGAAGGATTGCTGCGCTTGATCGCATTCCGCCACGGTAGCGCCGAGTCACGATCGGACCGGGGGGAGGCAGCTTGGGCTACCGCGAGCTGATCGGACGGATCAGGGAGGCGAGACCGATGTGCTCTGCTTGCATAGACGACGATGTCAGCGCAGCCTCGAGGTTGCCCGTGTCGGGCCCGCTCTCCTCGACGCAGAAGTCCTCAGCGCGAACCATGATGCTTGAATGGCAACGAAGCGGACGGAGACGACGAAGAATTCGACGAATCGAGATGCGGCCAACACGCGGGGCAGGTTCCGCAACGACACACCCATCTGGGGAGTGCGCGTGCGTGGCAGCGGGACGGATGTGGTGTAGTGCCCAGCGAGGAAGCGGACACGTCGGCGTCGGTGAAAGAAGGCGCCGAGACGAATGCTGATGGATGCGGATGATGAACTCGACGCAGTTGATGAAACGCGACGCGATTGATGGGGGCGACGCGCGGCAGAGTTCGACGGAAAGTCGACGCGGGTGATGGGCCGCGAGACACAGCGACCGAGTCCAACTCGACGCGTAATCATCCGACGAGTCGACCAGTGCCCCGTCTCTGCAAAACGCGTCGACCCTAATTCCCGCCGAGCAAAACCCGCCGAGCAAGACGCGCCGAGCAAAACGCGCCGACCAAAACGCGTCGAGGTAAGATCTTGATTACGCCACGCAAATCAGGTTGAAGGACGGCAGTGCAAGCACGACGGAAGTAGGGATAGGTACAGAACGATAGGCTCAGCAAGCAGTAGTACGGAGTAGCCAGTAGCTAGGGCATAGGACAGGGTAAGGACTCAGTCCCGAAATTTCTCTGAACCACAAAGACCTCCTGTCTTCTCCGAGGTTCCAGGGGAACCACCAAGCACCGGCAAGTAGAGCCGCCTCGATATCGCGGCCCCCCGTCGTTTGCTGGTTCGGGTGCTCACCCCCCACAGACCCGTGCTGGAACAAAGGCACGTTAAACGTATACCGTTTAGGTGGGCACCCGATAACGCGCTGCCTAGGCGAAGGACCGCACTGGCCTGATAACCGCCGTGCACAAGATCCCCCTGTAGGCCCGATAACGCCACACAAGCCCCAGGAAACGCCGGCCCGATAACGCCGCACGCCCAAGGCTCGACGCCCTACGACAAGGAACAAGCGTCAACACAAGAACCCCCAACTCCGAAGCCTGCGAAGACCTGGGCCTGTATTTCGAAGATACGCTACTCCAACAACCGGGAATAATTTGCTCGGCGCGACCGCTATCCAGACGCGCCGAGTTTGTGCGAGATCGCATTCGCGAGATCTCTGCGAGGGCGCTACTCCACATTAGCGTACGCAGCATCGTAGCTACAGCCGCCTCACCAATGACTTTTGGCAGTCGTTGGAGGGCCTCCCACTCTGGATCCGACAGGTGGGGACAGTCAGCGGGTGCAACGTGAGTTGCAGGCGTAGTGGAGCTTTCCATGGGCACCTCTGTACCCATGGGAAGGTTCTCAGCTCCGCGTTCGTGTGGTGACGTACGAACTCAGGTAGTCAGTCGTTGGACGGACTACAAAGTGCTACCAGGTGTAATGGGCCTACTTTGGCTCGCCACTTTAGCTCACATGTGTGCGCACGTGTGTGAGGAAGCGTAGCTTAGTTTAAACTAGAGTTGATTATACTCGGACCTCCGAGTATAGATTAATCTAAATAAACGATCCAAATAATGTTTTTGGGTTAAAATGAGAACTGCCATTTTTGTTTTATGTTTCTGACTTCCTCTAAATGTAATATTCTAAACTGGGAATCTGCCAACGGCTCGTTGGCTGAATTCCAATGCTATGCATGTCGCTCATTGACTAAAAGATGCTGCTTTCAGCCAATAGGAATCCTAAGTCTCTATGGACCAGCCGTCGTGGTGATCGTAAATGTATGTAGCTTTGGTGTGTCTACACCAAGGTCGAGAAAGTCTTTCGAACCTCTAACGGACGTCGTGTCTGTTAGAGTTACAAGTGACTGTAGCCATTTGTGCGTGCAACCCTGTTACAACCGTTCTTGACTGGGACCTGACTGTGGCGATCACGAGCTTCCCATCGATCTGCTCTCGCTGCTGTCGACGTCATCGCGACCTAAAAACGGACCCTTCAAAAAGTTAAAACTAGAGCTGTTCCGGTAAAGCGTTTTTTTGTTCAGCTTTCACCATTTTGGGTCTTTTTGCTTCCTTCTTATCTGGATGAACTGTTAAGACTCGAATCCAAGTCTTAACACGTTACTTTATAGATAGAACCGCCGTTAGTCTTGCCGCTGGAGATGCTCTAAGTGAAACAGGAGACCGCATCAAACAAAGTGTTTCCGAGATAATCGCGTTTGAAGTTGACAATTTCGGACGTGCAGACAACGACTTACAAAGCCGGTAGAGGCAAAAAGTAGGCAGACGAAGTCAAGCAAGGCTTAACATGAGTAAACCAGCCAATCAGATTCAATCAAATGACTTCATCTTTGTATACCGTCTGGGTGTGTGTACTTTATATACTTTCTTGTGTAATTTATGCAACACACTGTGTGTTTTATGACAGTTTTACAGATTTGCCAGGAGGGAATTTATCGTTGTTTTATATAGGAGATTGGCATTAAGCATGTCGGCTTTGTAAGTCGTTGTCTGTACCCCGGATATCAATAATTTGCTAACTAGTTAGTGAAAATCGCTCATCTAAGTGCCAAAACACTTTAGCTCGATTAGCTTTCGGCTAAGAGCATCTCAAACAATAGTGCAAATTGCAAAAGTGATAAGGCAAAGTGAAAGTCAAATTGCAAGCTGGTAGCTACAACGACGCGATATCTAATCTTGCAATAGTTGCTAGATCCCCAATGGTGTATTGAATGGTGTATTGATAGTGCCAATTTGAGGCAGAACATAACCCGATTTAAACCATCGCATTGACAATGAGCTCGATCAGCGCGAAGGTCCTTTGCTCCGTGGTCGCTTTCTGCGCAAGCGGCGATCGCGAAAGAAGAAACACGGCGGCTCGAGGCCTGGGATATGCGCCAACTTTAATCGCGATTACGTCCTTGCCTACAATCGGTCTACAAGCAGTACTTATCGACGCGGGCAACATTTACAGAGGAGCGATTTCGTAGACGATTTTGTATGAGCAAGACCCTTTCTCAGTAAAGTGGATAAACTCGGAGAGTGTGGTGGATATTTTACGTGGCCCACGGATTGTACTGGAAAGTATGGCCGGCCTCCGTCTCCAGCGTCGTGGACGCCGTCAGTTGCTATTGCTTCTTCGCGCGCCGCTCCGCTCGCACGTCACGTTGAGTCGTCATGGTCGTTCTTAGCTCTTTCTGTTTCAAATAATACAATCCCCTTTGTTAGCTCACTCTCTCTCTCTTCTTCTTCTCACGCTTATCGTTTCCGCTGCGGGTCGCCCGCTAATGCCAAGCCCGCTAAGACACTCCACTCGTGTCCTAGCCCGGAAGGCACCTGTTATGACCACCATGTAGGTAACTCGCCACTACGCCTCCAATCCCATTACGGGTCGTCACCTCGCTTGACGAATTACGTTACATTGACGACCTACTCACCGACACCTAGGCGGAAAGCCTTAGCTCCGGCGACTACCGGCACGGGGCCGCACAGTGGTGACCAAACAGCTTATGGCCCAGACGGGGATAGGGATGGCTGGGAGGAAGCGTTGTCGGCACCGACGGTCGGGTAGCCCCGCCGGCTGCTTCCAGCAAAACCCGGTTAATATGCAACGGACGCAGGTGTCCTTCGCCCGAGGGCACACGCGGACCCTTGCGCCCCTCGGTCCAGGCGCTACTCGTGCACCTCGACCCCCGTGGTCTCTCTCCACGGTCCCGCCGCCCTACTCGCCACTGCCCCCTTATCTTAGTGCCTGCCTACCTTCGCTTACCTCCCCTTACTGCTTGTAGCTAGTCGTCGCCCTCGCTCAGCACTAACGTAGCAGCCTGTGTCTTCAGTCGCAACGCAAGGTATTTAGTCTCAACCTGCTACAGTTCTGTAACAAATCTCAACTGAGGGTCGAGCTGCCTGACCGCAGCTCGTTGTCCCCGCTTACTTCTACCTCTCCTACACATTGGGCGCCTTCCTAGCCTACCAGGACCTCTCCCTCTTCACGTCTCATCACCTCTCTCGTGGCCTCCTGGCCGCTCGTCGTAGATCTCACGTCGCCTCGCCTTCACGCACACTCACTGCTTGTCCCTGCTCGACGTGTCGCCCTCCTGCGATCTTCTGCACTCCTCTCTTTAACTGGGTCCTCGTGGCGGTGGCAGTAGTCGACTGACTTGCCTCAGCCACCGTCTGCTGCCCGCCGTACATCTTCGCCACCGACTTGTCCTTGGTGGGCCACTCGAACGACTACGTCAAGTCGATCACGACGCAGCCGCTGCTCACCAGCTCTGAGTCATGCCCCGCCGCACAGTAACAAGACACACTACTACACGCCATCCCGGCACCAAGATCGTCCGCGATCTTGCCGGCGTCCAGCAGCACCTCGAAATCGTCTGCTGACAGCCACCTCCTGCCTGATGGTCCACCTGGCCACATGCCATACTGCACTCATGCTCCACCACGTATCGCCCAGTTCGGTTTCGCACTCGACGCCGCGCACGTTCGACGATGTGGCTAGCTGTCGCCACTTGCAGCAACTCTGGCATTGGGTCGGGCCGTCGGGGCCGCCCTCGGCCTTGAACACTTTCAGCGAGCGCTCCACCGCTCTGATCAGCCCCTCCGGCGCCTGCGGTCCCTCCATGCCGCCGCTCACGCGAGGCTCGTACTCGTCCGTCACCCTCGTTGGCTTCGCGACCGCGGTGAACCCCACGATCGCCGTTTAGCATGCGTTTGTTGGGATGCCAGGCAGCAACAACGATCGAAATGCTTTAGGTTCGTCGCCGCTAATTAGCGAGTACATTGATGAAAACGCTCCTCAGTTTTTGAACGAAGTTTATGGCCATAGATACGATTTTCTCTACTATTCGACCGATGGTACCTACCCTGACTGCCGCAGCTTCGTAAAAACAATTTCGGCGCCAATTAACAAGCGATACGTGGCTTAAGGTCAACGAAAATCACGATTCTCGAAGTAAGTCTAAAACTACGAAACGCGCGAAGGCGAATATTTAAGCAGCTTAAAAGCTCACAAGTAAGTTTGTTGTCTTGCAATGTGATGTAGACGTTGCGCTGACTACAACGATGCCTACAGCGATCACAGTATCTGCTTGAAAATGGTTCCTCGCCCCCGTGTGATCGAAATGGTCATGGGTTTTGAGACAGTTATTTCGAGTATGTATCTTCTTCAAAATTGTATTACATGCTTTATTGCAGGTATAATTTGTATAGAGGGCTTCAACTATGTAATGACCGCAAACAGATCGTGTTGACCAGGGATTATTTGACTGTACAGATCCTCCTTAAACTCGTGGCAGCCTGCACTTCTGGCCTACTAACGTTAGCAACCTGAGGATGTCGAGGTACACCGTATCAGAACACGTATCGATTGTAGTTGGAGTTGGAGTTGGAGTAATAGTGTTAACACAGCGCGTAGAAACCCGAGAACTGTCACGGAGCTTAGCCTCGTCCTTAGGGTCAGCCAGGGTGTTCTCTCCATGGATGACTGTTGGTCGCACTGCGGTCTCCGGCTAATGCGGCGCTTGCGCGTTCTAGTCCATGTCGTGCTGATGGGCGCGCACGAGTTCATGGCGATGCTACTGGCCGTCGGCCATGTCAGTGCTGCCGTTGCTATGGGTCGTAGACAGAGTGATAGGACCACACCGCATTGCCCGCGGCGACTCGTGCGTCCGTGCCCGTCACCTTCTGTTGTTTGCCCAGCGCTTCCTCCAATCCCCAACTCTCTAAATTTAGATAAACAACAAGAGACGAGTCATTATTGACCAATGATGTCGTAGTGCAACCCTTTTTATCCAATCAGCAAATTATCAGCTCGTTTTTTTCTCCCAGAGGCATGACCATGCGACCATTTTTAGGGGGAAATGAGCCGAGATACATGTACTTCCGCCTCGATTTCTTGTTAACCATCAGCTCAAATGTCGATACCGGAGTGCGCAAGACGACTACCGACTGAGGCGAGGCGGGTGAACGCCTTTTCCGCCCAGGTGTATAGTGTGCGAATGTTCCGTGAGAACAAAGTATCTTAGAACTTCTCAGGCGGATACGCCAGAAGTTGTCCGCCCGAGATGGCGTGTGTTCCTTGTGACAATCCCTCTCGGGTCGTTTGTCTTCAAACCAAGGAGCTCGGCCGAGTTGGTGAGTTGTTGTACACCGTTGGGTCTCCGAGCGGGGTGCGATACGTACTTCCCAACGTAGCCCCTACGATTCTGGGCGATAACCACAAATGCAGAGTTATACCCAAATACAAATATCCGTCACTTATTCTTTCGGACCCTCGGACGGTCACACTACACCCAGATGAAAATCCAATCTGCGACCGCAAGTGGTGACGAGGCAATGGACACCGGCGACGAGCGCGACGACAACAACGCGGACCACGATGGCGACGCAGACGAAGGCGAAAGAGGAGGAGAAGGGCGACAACGCCGACATGGAAGCGATCGGCGACGCGGCCGGCATCTCCACCACATCCGGCCAGAACTTCGGCTCCACGTCCGGGTGGACGCCTCCGGGCGAGCAGGCCCCAGCGCTTCACGGCCGAGACACGGGTCGCCAGGGGCATCCGCTCGTGTCTACGTCGGTCTTCCATCTCCTGGACTTCGACCAACTCATCGAGCAGGTCCGGGTGAGGGTGTCATCGATGTAAGAACTCCGGTCGAGAACTGAGCCGATATGTGATGGCATCGGAATATTCCGCTGGAACACTGTCATAGCGTCAGTCAGGGCGGGGACCTTCCGGCTGGACTCTTGTTGGGCAGACTCATTTTCCTCCGAGGGATCCAGGCCGAGAAATTCCAACACATCCGAGTCAACAAGCTTCTCTTCCTCCGGTGGGAGTCGGACGAAGCCACACGGCCTGGTAGACAAGCGGGGCGTTCTTCAGGCCGGATGGCGTTCTCACCCACTGGAAATGTCCGAGCGGACAAATGAAAGCTGAGATCAGCTTCGCGCGCTCTGTCATGCGCACCGCCCAGAATCCGCTGGTCATGTCGAGGCTCATGAACCACATGGCGGCCTCGAAACCGACCAACAAGTCGTCGATCAGCGGGAGTGGGTACGTCGAGAGCTGGATGAACCCATTCACCACGCGGTAGTCAATACACATGCGAATGTCCACGCCGTTCTTCTTCAAGACGATCATGATGGGGAAGCCGAGGCGGGCTGCGATTACATAATCAAACCGGTTTCCAACAACTTCTTGAGCAGATCGTAGACCTTCTTCCAGAGATATGGAGCTATAGACCTCGGACGTTGGGCGACAGGTTTGGCGTCACCTACGTCCAGATCACATACCATGCCCCTGGCCAGGGCGGGGGCAGCATTTCCATCTCCCAGGAAATCTTGCAAAGATACTCCAGGATATTTCGCAGCTTGCCCACTTCGCCCGGAGAAGTCCGGCCGGGTTCACCAACGTCAGCCTTGGAGATGTCACACTCCGGGCTGAGGTCCTTCAGCTCGGGCAGCATGGCGAGTTCTTCGCGTAACTGTGACATCACCTCGCTGCCCTCCCGGAGGTAGACCGCCGGCTCGTAGTCGAGATCCTCCTGGCTGGCTCTCATGCATCGGATATACTCTTCTTCGAGTCTCCAGACGGGCGTAGACACCATCGCGCAACTTGGACGATCATCTAGTTCTTCGTCTTCATCGGGAACATCCTGGCCAGGCAACTCCGGGCGGACTGGTTCAGCTTCGGGTTCCGTCTCACTCGCAGTCTCCACTGGGATGTCCGGCTCGTTCACGTCCAGGGTCTTCTCAGACATCTCTTCCTGGCCGAGGACGATCGGGCCCGTCTGCGTACCAATCTCCACCATAGTACACGTCTGAACTGCCATATCGCACATGATCTTGGGCTGAGCTCGAGCAACTCCCGCCCGCAACGACTGCGGGCGAGTCTGCAGCGGGATTTCCTTGCACGTCTTCTTCTTCCGGTCGATCATCACCTGGATTTTACTCGGCCAGGGATATTCGGCGGGTTTCACGGCCGGAGGTTGGTGGGCCCACTCAAAATCTTCGAGCTCCATCTGCTTCGTTCGCTCTTCCGGAGACGGAGTATTCTCGTAGACCAGCGTCTGTCACTCCTGGTACTTCCGACCCCCCGGGCGGACAAAACGTCCTGGCATGGGGTAACACCGGAACTCCACGATCCGTGCGACAGGGTCCGCGTGTCGATCCACACCATCTGGTTCGAAATGTTGACGACCTTCACCGATCTCGCCCAAGACTTGGCCGCATAGTTGATGCAGGTGACCCAGAGGTCTCCGCGGCCCGCCCAGACACCCTCCTTCTGGGGGTTGCTGTAACCGTACTTGATCTCGACAGTGGCATGTTCACCCGGGCGGACATACAGGTTCTGCTTAGATGTCACCGGGATGTCCAGACCTCGATTCTGACGGAGTGTGGTGTTACACATCAGGGCGATCTCCTCGTGCGGAAGTCGGATATGACTTTCTCGCACACACAGCCGGACTCCGGCCGCATACATGAAGTTCATTCCCAGGAGGACTTCCACGTCTTCACTAATGTTCGTCACCCGGACATCCAGAACGTTGACAACACGGAATCCAAGCGTGATTTTGACTCTCGAACTCGCAGTGATGTACCTCGGAGCTCCTCCCAGATCGATCACCTTGACCGGCTCCGGCAACACCCAGAATTTCAGCTTGAGCCTACGCGCAAGGTTCAAACTGATTATACTCCCGGATGCACCGGTATCCAGAAGGATTCTCGTCCGGACATCATTCACTGCTCCATGCACCAACGCAACATCGCGACTGTCCTCGTGATCATGATTCGCCCACCATCCATGTTTCTGCCCAGGACTTCGGGCGGAATTTCTTGGCCGGACATGTCTGGCCAGGTCCACGCAGGGTCACTTCGCTCAGAATCAGCAGGATCTTCTTGTTTCACAGTAGTCATACATTGTCGGTTATCGTTGTTCTTCTTTCTCAGCTCTGGTCCGACATACACTAAGACGCACAATTGTTGGGGTTTCGACCCGGCGCGTACTTGATCCCCATCCAGCAGGCTTACTCATTTAATGACTTCCCCTAATTGGCCTCCCCGTCCAGCAATTTCTTAAGGACATAATGCCATGATGCCGAAGCAACCCGTGCGCAGAAAGAGATGACCCGTTTGGCTCCTCGATAGGTAGGTGGCGTGTACACTACCGCCGCGACCGGCTGATTGCGAGGAGGATCCAACCGAGCGCTGCTGAGTACCGTAGATGGAGGGGTCAAGTCGCGAGATGTTTTGGGTCCTGCGATCGTCTTGAAGCATGCGTGGTGGTTTGTGGGCGATGCGAGTGCGATATGGTGTCCAGTCGACGCTGGAAGTTGGCGGTATAGGTCGTTTTGTGCGTGCGTGCGGCGTGATAATTGTGTGGTAAAATGGGACGGTTTGAGGGTTGTGTGATCGTTCGAGTGTCGGTGTCGTCTAGTGGTTAGGACGTGAGCTTAACACGCTCAAGATCGAGGGTTCGATCCCCTCCTCCGATATCTTATTGCCTTTTTCTTTACAACCGCTCGTTCGTGGCCCCTGGGCCAGCAGCGCATGCTGTAACCATAGCTCAGTGCGCAGCACATCCGTGTCCAAGCCGCTAGTAGCTTCTATAGCGAACGAGCCACGTGCAGCCCCGGAGACATCGCGATACGAGTATCGCGGTCGGTGAGAGAGGTGAGTGGTGGTTGTTGCGTGTGTAGGTAGGCGCTGACAGCGACGGTAAGGGTAGGCAATGGTAGGCAGGGGGTTGTGGTGCGGTTAGCATGGATGTGCGTTGGCGTACGTGTGTTTGCGGTGAATGTGGTGAGGGTTTGGATTTGTGTCGAATTTTAACGACAGCTTGGCCGAGTGGTTGAGGCGATAGACTAGAAATCTATTGGGGTAACCCGCGTGAGTTCAAATCTCACAGCTGTCGGACCCATTTTATGTGATTCAACCCGAGTCCATCTCGCCTCGTTGTGGCCTTCCTGCGCCTTCCTGTGACGCCACGCACCCAGCCACCACGTCTGCTCATCACACGCGACTCGACAGCACAATGGATACTTGTACACGCCCGCCATAGATTGCGCTACAACCATCGTTCCCACACGCCCGTCCGCTTCGTAAGCGACCATTTCTCAACGGATGATTTCCAAACCCCGCCAGGCTCGAAACCAACTGCGCTGTCCGCAGGTAGGTCAGGCAATGGGACTGACCGCTGCTGGCACGGCACAGCAGGCACGATCGTGGCAGTGTGCCTCGAGGTGTTGGGCTGGGCCAAAAGGCCGGCGACACAGTGTGGTTTGGGCACATGATGCCATGATGCCGAAGCAACCCGTGCGCAGAAAGAGATGACCCGTTTGGCTCCTCGATAGGTAGGTGGCGTGTACACTACCGCCGCGACCGGCTGATTGCGAGGAGGATCCAACCGAGCGCTGCTGAGTACCGTAGATGGAGGGGTCAAGTCGCGAGATGTTTTGGGTCCTGCGATCGTCTTGAAGCATGCGTGGTGGTCTGTGGGCGATGCGAGTGCGATATGGTGTCCAGTCGACGCTGGAAGTTGGCGGTATAGGTCGTTTTGTGCGTGCGTGCGGCGTGATAATTGTGTGGTAAAATGGGACGGTTTGAGGGTTGTGTGATCGTTCGAGTGTCGGTGTCGTCTAGTGGTTAGGACGTGAGCTTAACACGCTCAAGATCGAGGGTTCGATCCCCTCCTCCGATATCTTATTGCCTTTTTCTTTACAACCACTCGTTCGTGGCCCCTGGGCCAGCAGCGCATGCTGTAACCATAGCTCAGTGCGCAGCACATCCGTGTCCAAGCCGCTAGTAGCTTCTATAGCGAACGAGCCACGTGCAGCCCCGGAGACATCGCGATACGAGTATCGCGGTCGGTGAGAGAGGTGAGTGGTGGTTGTTGCGTGTGTAGGTAGGCGCTGACAGCGACGGTAAGGGTAGGCAATGGTAGGCAGGAGGTTGTGGTGCGGTTAGCATGGATGTGCGTTGGCGTACGTGTGTTTGCGGTGAATGTGGTGAGGGTTTGGATTTGTGTCAAATTTTAACGACAGCTTGGCCGAGTGGTTAAGGCGATAGACTAGAAATCTATTGGGGTAACCCGCGTGAGTTCAAATCTCACAGCTGTCGGACCCATTTTATGTGATTCAACCCGAGTCCATCTCGCCTCGTTGTGGCCTTCCCGCGCCTTCCTGTGACGCCACGCACCCAGCCACCACGTCTGCTCATCACACGCGACTCGACAGCACAATGGATACTTGTACACACCCGCCATAGATTGCGCTACAACCATCGTTCCCACACGCCCGTCCGCTTCGTAAGCGACCATTTCTCAACGGATGATTTCCAAACCCCGCCAGGCTCGAAACCAACTGCGCTGTCCGCAGGTAGGTCAGGCAATGGGACTGACCGCTGCTGGCACGGCACAGCAGGCACGATCGTGGCAGTGTACCTCGAGGTGTTGGGCTGGGCCAAAAGGCCGGCGACACAGTGTGGTTTGGGCACATGATGCCATGATGCCGAAGCAACCCGTGCGCAGAAAGAGATGACCCGTTTGGCTCCTCGATAGGTAGGTGGCGTGTACACTACCGCCGCGACCGGCTGATTGCGAGGAGGATCCAACCGAGCGCTGCTGAGTACCGTAGATGGAGGGGTCAAGTCGCGAGATGTTTTGGGTCCTGCGATCGTCTTGAAGCATGCGTGGTGGTCTGTGGGCGATGCGAGTGCGATATGGTGTCCAGTCGACGCTGGAAGTTGGCGGTATAGGTCGTTTTGTGCGTGCGTGCGGCGTGATAATTGTGTGGTAAAATGGGACGGTTTGAGGGTTGTGTGATCGTTCGAGTGTCGGTGTCGTCTAGTGGTTAGGACGTGAGCTTAACACGCTCAAGATCGAGGGTTCGATCCCCTCCTCCGATATCTTATTGCCTTTTTCTTTACAACCGCTCGTTCGTGGCCCCTGGGCCAGCAGCGCATGCTGTAACCATAGCTCAGTGCGCAGCACATCCGTGTCCAAGCCGCTAGTAGCTTCTATAGCGAACGAGCCACGTGCAGCCCCGGAGACATCGCGATACGAGTATCGCGGTCGGTGAGAGAGGTGAGTGGTGGTTGTTGCGTGTGTAGGTAGGCGCTGACAGCGACGGTAAGGGTAGGCAATGGTAGGCAGGAGGTTGTGGTGCGGTTAGCATGGATGTGCGTTGGCGTACGTGTGTTTGCGGTGAATATGGTGAGGGTTTGGATTTGTGTCGAATTTTAACGACAGCTTGGCCGAGTGGTTAAGGCGATAGACTAGAAATCTATTGGGGTAACCCGCGTGAGTTCAAATCTCACAGCTGTCGGACCCATTTTATGTGATTCAACCCGAGTCCATCTCGCCTCGTTGTGGCCTTCCCGCGCCTTCCTGTGACGCCACGCACCCAGCCACCACGTCTGCTCATCACACGCGACTCGACAGCACAATGGATACTTGTACACGCCCGCCATAGATTGCGCTACAACCATCGTTCCCACACGCCCGTCCGCTTCGTAAGCGACCATTTCTCAACGGATGATTTCCAAACCCCGCCAGGCTCGAAACCAACTGCGCTGTCCGCAGGTAGGTCAGGCAATGGGACTGACCGCTGCTGGCACGGCACAGCAGGCACGATCGTGGCAGTGTGCCTCGAGGTGTTGGGCTGGGCCAAAAGGCCGGCGACACAGTGTGGTTTGGGCACATGATGCCATGATGCCGAAGCAACCCGTGCGCAGAAAGAGATGACCCGTTTGGCTCCTCGATAGGTAGGTGGCGTGTACACTACCGCCGCGACCGGCTGATTGCGAGGAGGATCCAACCGAGCGCTGCTGAGTACCGTAGATGGAGGGGTCAAGTCGCGAGATGTTTTGGGTCCTGCGATCGTCTTGAAGCATGCGTGGTGGTCTGTGGGCGATGCGAGTGCGATATGGTGTCCAGTCGACGCTGGAAGTTGGCGGTATAGGTCGTTTTGTGCGTGCGTGCGGCGTGATAATTGTGTGGTAAAATGGGACGGTTTGAGGGTTGTGTGATCGTTCGAGTGTCGGTGTCGTCTAGTGGTTAGGACGTGAGCTTAACACGCTCAAGATCGAGGGTTCGATCCCCTCCTCCGATATCTTATTGCCTTTTTCTTTACAACCACTCGTTCGTGGCCCCTGGACCAGCAGCGCATGCTGTAACCATACCTCAGTGCGCAGCACATCCGTGTCCAAGCCGCTAGTAGCTTCTATAGCGAACGAGCCACGTGCAGCCCCGGAGACATCGCGATACGAGTATCGCGGTCGGTGAGAGAGGTGAGTGGTGGTTGTTGCGTGTGTAGGTAGGCGCTGACAGCGACGGTAAGGGTAGGCAATGGTAGGCAGGAGGTTGTGGTGCGGTTAGCATGGATGTGCGTTGGCGTACGTGTGTTTGCGGTGAATGTGGTGAGGGTTTGGATTTGTGTCAAATTTTAACGACAGCTTGGCCGAGTGGTTAAGGCGATAGACTAGAAATCTATTGGGGTAACCCGCGTGAGTTCAAATCTCACAGCTGTCGGACCCATTTTATGTGATTCAACCCGAGTCCATCTCGCCTCGTTGTGGCCTTCCCGCGCCTTCCTGTGACGCCACGCACCCAGCCACCACGTCTGCTCATCACACGCGACTCGACAGCACAATGGATACTTGTACACGCCCGCCATAGATTGCGCTACAACCATCGTTCCCACACGCCCGTCCGCTTCGTAAGCTACCATTTCTCAACGGATGATTTCCAAACCCCGCCAGGCTCGAAACCAACTGCGCTGTCCGCAGGTAGGTCAGGCAATGGGACTGACCGCTGCTGGCACGGCACAGCAGGCACGATCGTGGCAGTGTGCCTCGAGGTGTTGGGCTGGGCCAAAAGGCCGGCGACACAGTGTGGTTTGGGCACATGATGCCATGATGCCGAAGCAACCCGTGCGCAGAAAGAGATGACCCGTTTGGCTCCTCGATAGGTAGGTGGCGTGTACACTACCGCCGCGACCGGCTGATTGCGAGGAGGATCCAACCGAGCGCTGCTGAGTACCGTAGATGGAGGGGTCAAGTCGCGAGATGTTTTGGGTCCTGCGATCGTCTTGAAGCATGCGTGGTGGTCTGTGGGCGATGCGAGTGCGATATGGTGTCCAGTCGACGCTGGAAGTTGGCGGTATAGGTCGTTTTGTGCGTGCGTGCGGCGTGATAATTGTGTGGTAAAATGGGACGGTTTGAGGGTTGTGTGATCGTTCGAGTGTCGGTGTCGTCTAGTGGTTAGGACGTGAGCTTAACACGCTCAAGATCGAGGGTTCGATCCCCTCCTCCGATATCTTATTGCCTTTTTCTTTACAACCGCTCGTTCGTGGCCCCTGGACCAGCAGCGCATGCTGTAACCATACCTCAGTGCGCAGCACATCCGTGTCCAAGCCGCTAGTAGCTTCTATAGCGAACGAGCCACGTGCAGCCCCGGAGACATCGCGATACGAGTATCGCGGTCGGTGAGAGAGGTGAGTGGTGGTTGTTGCGTGTGTAGGTAGGCGCTGACAGCGACGGTAAGGGTAGGCAATGGTAGGCAGGAGGTTGTGGTGCGGTTAGCATGGATGTGCGTTGGCGTACGTGTGTTTGCGGTGAATGTGGTGAGGGTTTGGATTTGTGTCGAATTTTAACGACAGCTTGGCCGAGTGGTTAAGGCGATAGACTAGAAATCTATTGGGGTAACCCGCGTGAGTTCAAATCTCACAGCTGTCGGACCCATTTTATGTGATTCAACCCGAGTCCATCTCGCCTCGTTGTGGCCTTCCCGCGCCTTCCTGTGACGCCACGCACCCAGCCACCACGTCTGCTCATCACACGCGACTCGACAGCACAATGGATACTTGTACACACCCGCCATAGATTGCGCTACAACCATCGTTCCCACACGCCCGTCCGCTTCGTAAGCGACCATTTCTCAACGGATGATTTCCAAACCCCGCCAGGCTCGAAACCAACTGCGCTGTCCGCAGGTAGGTCAGGCAATGGGACTGACCGCTGCTGGCACGGCACAGCAGGCACGATCGTGGCAGTGTGCCTCGAGGTGTTGGGCTGGGCCAAAAGGCCGGCGACACAGTGTGGTTTGGGCACATGATGCCATGATGCCGAAGCAACCCGTGCGCAGAAAGAGATGACCCGTTTGGCTCCTCGATAGGTAGGTGGCGTGTACACTACCGCCGCGACCGGCTGATTGCGAGGAGGATCCAACCGAGCGCTGCTGAGTACCGTAGATGGAGGGGTCAAGTCGCGAGGTGTTTTGGGTCCTGCGATCGTCTTGAAGCATGCGTGGTGGTCTGTGGGCGATGCGAGTGCGATATGGTGTCCAGTCGACGCTGGAAGTTGGCGGTATAGGTCGTTTTGTGCGTGCGTGCGGCGTGATAATTGTGTGATAAAATGGGACGGTTTGAGGGTTGTGTGATCGTTCGAGTGTCGGTGTCGTCTAGTGGTTAGGACGTGAGCTTAACACGCTCAAGATCGAGGGTTCGATCCCCTCCTCCGATATCTTATTGCCTTTTTCTTTACAACCGCTCGTTCGTGGCCCCTGGACCAGCAGCGCATGCTGTAACCATAACTCAGTGCGCAGCACATCCGTGTCCAAGCCGCTAGTAGCTTCTATAGCGAACGAGCCACGTGCAGCCCCGGAGACATCGCGATACGAGTATCGCGGTCGGTGAGAGAGGTGAGTGGTGGTTGTTGCGTGTGTAGGTAGGCGCTGACAGCGACGGTAAGGGTAGGCAATGGTAGGCAGGAGGTTGTGGTGCGGTTAGCATGGATGTGCGTTGGCGTACGTGTGTTTGCGGTGAATATGGTGAGGGTTTGGATTTGTGTCAAATTTTAACGACAGCTTGGCCGAGTGGTTAAGGCGATAGACTAGAAATCTATTGGGGTAACCCGCGTGAGTTCAAATCTCACAGCTGTCGGACCCATTTTATGTGATTCAACCCGAGTCCATCTCGCCTCGTTGTGGCCTTCCCGCGCCTTCCTGTGACGCCACGCACCCAGCCACCACGTCTGCTCATCACACGCGACTCGACAGCACAATGGATACTTGTACACACCCGCCATAGATTGCGCTACAACCATCGTTCCCACACGCCCGTCCGCTTCGTAAGCGACCATTTCTCAACGGATGATTTCCAAACCCCGCCAGGCTCGAAACCAACTGCGCTGTCCGCAGGTAGGTCAGGCAATGGGACTGACCGCTGCTGGCACGGCACAGCAGGCACGATCGTGGCAGTGTGCCTCGAGGTGTTGGGCTGGGCCAAAAGGCCGGCGACACAGTGTGGTTTGGGCACATGATGCCATGATGCCGAAGCAACCCGTGCGCAGAAAGAGATGACCCGTTTGGCTCCTCGATAGGTACACTACCGCCGCGACCGGCTGATTGCGAGGAGGATCCAACCGAGCGCTGCTGAGTACCGTAGATGGAGGGGTCAAGTCGCGAGATGTTTTGGGTCCTGCGATCGTCTTGAAGCATGCGTGGTGGTCTGTGGGCGATGCGAGTGCGATATGGTGTCCAGTCGACGCTGGAAGTTGGCGGTATAGGTCGTTTTGTGCGTGCGTGCGGCGTGATAATTGTGTGATAAAATGGGACGGTTTGAGGGTTGTGTGATCGTTCGAGTGTCGGTGTCGTCTAGTGGTTAGGACGTGAGCTTAACACGCTCAAGATCGAGGGTTCGATCCCCTCCTCCGATATCTTATTGCCTTTTTCTTTACAACCGCTCGTTCGTGGCCCCTGGGCCAGCAGCGCATGCTGTAACCATAGCTCAGTGCGCAGCACATCCGTGTCCAAGCCGCTAGTAGCTTCTATAGCGAACGAGCCACGTGCAGCCCCGGAGACATCGCGATACGAGTATCGCGGTCGGTGAGAGAGGTGAGTGGTGGTTGTTGCGTGTGTAGGTAGGCGCTGACAGCGACGGTAAGGGTAGGCAATGGTAGGCAGGAGGTTGTGGTGCGGTTAGCATGGATGTGCGTTGGCGTACGTGTGTTTGCGGTGAATGTGGTGAGGGTTTGGATTTGTGTCAAAATTTAACGACAGCTTGGCCGAGTGGTTAAGGCGATAGACTAGAAATCTATTGGGGTAACCCGCGTGAGTTCAAATCTCACAGCTGTCGGACCCATTTTATGTGATTCAACCCGAGTCCATCTCGCCTCGTTGTGGCCTTCCCGCGCCTTCCTGTGACGCCACGCACCCAGCCACCACGTCTGCTCATCACACGCGACTCGACAGCACAATGGATACTTCTGGCCTGGTTTCCATCAGTTGCTGTTGACTGTAGCGGCTGATGTTGAACTGGAAGTCGCCGCGCCACTGGTGTGGGCCATAATTCAATTCGCGCGTCCCGCAGCGCAGACCGTTTTCGCTCGGGAAGACGTACGGGGTATACATGTCTGACAATGGCAGATCCCAGCGGTCAAAACAGGCGGCAGTAAGGCGGGCCCAGGAGAAACAGCGCGACCAATTTAGCACTTGCGACGCTCGCGGAGGAGGCGAATGCGATTGATTCTCGTTCTGAGGAGTCGGCGTTTCCCAATCGAAGGTTTCCCGTGAAGATGCCGAGCAACGCACGCGGAAGCGGCCAAGGCAGTGAGGCCTACTGCGAAGGCCAAGGTGAAGCGAAACAGGATACTGGAAGGCGAGAGCAACGACGCTCACCGGGGTCCGGGGCTCTGCATGACGCCAACTTCAGACGCGACCAAGAGCACGCTCGACGACGGAGAAGGGCGTGAGGAGAAGAGAGAGCACGACAAAGAGCAAGCTGCGATCATGGGTAACTCTGTGGGCAGTGATGGCGATGATGAGTACGATGCTGCGGGGGCTACTGGGGGCCTGCTAGTGGGGTGTGCGTCTAGCCGCGATGGTGA